CCCGACAGAATTTTAATGTTTTGTCTCCAAACCCACCAAGACCCCCCGGGGGGGGTTTTGTGGGGGTTTGAGCCCCACACATCTTCAAGTTGTCAAGGTTGAGAAACATTGTTTTATTGTCTTACTGTTTTCTGCTTTTAACCTTGTAAGTTGCCCAGAGTCATGTGGATTAAGGTGGCCTCTAAATCATAGAATAAACCAACAAATGCCTATTTTAGAGGCCTCTTGTCCCAGCGTTGTTTTCCCAATGTAGATTTTAACTCCCATCAGAATACAGTAGTCTTATTCCCTAGTCCTGATCTCAGGAAATCCAGTCAAGTCAGATTCATCATACTTTAGTTATTTTTCCCCCCTTTTTATTATGTTATAAAATATAACATAATAAATCTTAGTACATTGTGTTGTTTCTATGCATTGATGTTTGTATAATATGTTTAAACACGATTAACATTCTATTATTTAAATAACAGAATATGGAGAGCAGGAAAAAGAAAGAAAAAATACTCTATCAATGTTAATTACAATTTAGGATGGCAGTCTTACAAGCATAAAATTATTTAGCTTTTTCATTCAAAGTTGAGTATGACGTTGAGAAAGAACTGCTACAACTCACATCAAAAGAATTGTTATATGCTAGAGGTTTTGATCTTAAGCTGATTGCTTGTTGAAGCCTCCCTTGTATTGTTATTTAGTGTGTGAGTACATATGTACATACACACACATATATTTATAATACTTTAGTTAATTTTGCTGAGCCAAGAGAAAATTTCCTAGCTTGATTTTCTCTCCTGTTATCAGAAAAGTTATACCAGCATCTCCTTAGTCAAGTGATCACACTGCAGATTTGAAACTTTATGTAGTCAGAAGTGTCTGGTATCTTTGCTTGAAAGGTAAAACAGGAAAATGGGGGTGGGGGGTGAGAAAGCAAAACGTTTTGAACATCAGGAACACATGTTTTCAGTTTTGACAAGAAGGAATGTAACACCTGTTACATTCCCCCCCCCCGGGTTATAAAAATTCAGTTACTCCCGTTTTACAGATGTGGAATACTGAGGCTGGGCATTGATCACCAAGCGAAGGGACGGTGAATAAGATGCCTTGTTGCCTCTAGTCAAATATTGACAGAGTGAGCAACCCTGAAAGGCCGCCTGGTTTCAGTTTGTGGACGAGAGGAGCGTGTGGATGAATTTGCTGTCTCTGGCCTGTTTCTTGGATCCATTTTAATCTTTTTCTCCCCCCTCCGCAGGTGAAACTGGTCCGTTACATTGGCATCCAGTTACAGAGCAAGCTCAGCGTCCCCGTAAATGACAGGACGGCTGAGCTGGACAGCTATCCGAGGCTCAGCGACTGGTTGTACCTTGTTAACCTGCGGAAGGACGTCATCCAGGTAGGGCTAACAAAGTCCATCCCAGGATCTTCTCATGGGTATAACGGAGTGATCATCATGATTAATGGGTAGAGGTGACCTCCCTATTTTCCTTCTTGCATGACTCTCTCTTTAAAGACCTTTAAACTGGTGCCAGTTGCTGTGACGTTTCTGCATCTGCGTGCACAAGGGTAGAGAATGCGTACAGCCCTGATTTCTTAGTAGCATCAGCGCCCATGTGTGTGTGTGTGGGTGTGGGTGTGTTTTATTTTTCGCTTTGTCTGCGTTTGTGACATTCTGTTCTTCCTCAGTACGTAATCTCCAGAGTTCGCTGTCAACAGAATGAGTTTGCTTTCTAACCTCACCAAATCCTACAGCAGTGTTTCTCAACCTCGGCCACTTTAAGATGTGTGGACTTCAACTCCCAGAATT